TAGAACTCCTGTTGATCAAATTTCTGGTAATTGCGTTAAAGATTTAAGGCCTGTACAAACCCTGAGTCACGTTGTGACTGGAGAAGGGGGAGAAGATGATGATGATGATGTAGATGATTTAACAGGTATAATAGATTTCTGTTTATTGACTCTAACTATTAAATACTTTTTCTTGGGATTTTTGACTTTTTCTTTGGATGATTGCTGACCAGTTACATACTTAAGCAGTTTCTGCTTAAGGAAAGTAACACTAATGAAAGGAGAAATTTATGGTATGTCATAATAAATAAAAAATTTGCATTTGTATAAGTGAATCTTGAGCAGGAAAAATGAAATGCATCAAATTAACTATATTTTGTAGTTGAAGAGGTGAAGAGATATTGGACATCTGTTTTTAGAGAGGAAGTACCCAACACTGTTTCTGAAAGTGCGGAGCCCTCTTTGAGAATTGAGTTCCTTGATGGTGTAAGTGTGTAATAAAGGACATGATGAATCTTCACAGTGATCTGAAGTGATTTGTTTAAATGTTAATCTGTTAAATATTTAAAATAGCAACTATTAAATATTTTCTAAGGAAAAAATAATATTGGTGCGTTGTTTATCTTTTCCATACAAATCTAGAAAATCTATCTTTCCAAAGTTTCCCTGTAATTTTTTCCTGTTGTGTCCAGGGACTCTTACTGTATAGAAATTTTACAAAAATAAAATCTACAGGTTTTTAATCACTTGAGTGGTTTTTTTTTGAATGTTAATCTGTTGCCGAGTATGAGTTGGTTCGGGTTTTTTTGTTTGTTTGTTTTTTAATTAGTCATATGGCAAGGACTTGGAAGAATCATCTGACTTTTTGGTAATGGAAGCTGGTACTATGGGAATGAATAAGCAAGGAGAAACCGAACCACGAAAGCAGTGTGGAAGGTATCGGAAACACGGAGATTATTTGGTAGAGAAAAAGGAATAATCTGTCTTCTGATGTAGTTACATTCTGAAGAAACAGATGCTTTTGTTTGCAGACAGTCATACTTCATATGAAAGGGGAGAATCCTTTGATGGTAGATTGTGTATCTTAACCATGCCTTAAAACAATTTACATCTTCTCATCCTTGGCACACGACATAGTCTGTGCCAGGGTCGTGACACTTAGTTGCTACTTTCCCTTCCTTTACAGTTCTTCCAAGATCCTGTCTGTGATTGCTGGTTTTTGTCCTTCATACTTTTCATTTGAATGACCTAATTATTTAATTACTAGTTTGTAAGACAATCCAAGAACAGTTTGGCAGTTGACAGGCATACAACACATTTACCATTAAAGTTTGTGGATAGTAAGTTTGTGTCTTTGGCTTTGTCAGTGAGCCACCAAGGTATATTACTTACATGTAGCTGGAGAGACATCACTTTGAAATCTCTTTGTTTAATCATACCGATGTTAAATCATGTAAGATATGTTTCTTCATATGTGTGTGTCTTGAGTTACAGGTAGAATTTCTCTTTTGTGTGCTCTTATCTCTGTAGGAGCTGGGACTAGCATACAGACAAGTATGTAATTTATACGTGTTGTGTACTTTTAAGATACTATCACTCAACTAATCTTGTAACTCCAGACAAAACTAAGAGTCCTAATAATTAATGGTACATGTGCAATTTTTCTGATCTCCCAAAATTTATTTATGATTAGATGTGATTTGTTTTTGTTATATTGTATTCTTCTGATCTTTCCTCCTTCCTCTGTTTTGAAGTGGTTCAGCAGTTGCAGATCAGAACAAGACAGTACCAGACCTTTTGCCAAGAGAAACTGTAGGCACGGTGAGAAAGTCATCTTGTAATTTAAGTTCCACAGCTGACACTCAGTATTTTTTCCCTTTTCCTCTTGACAGAAATCCTGTTCTTCTAAATAAATTTCTCAAGGTAAAATTTGAGTGGTGTTTGTGCAATATACGTAAGTGTATACAGTTTTATCATTCATATAGGATGTGGTGGTCAAATATGATGGTTGTCTGAAAAAATAGTTAAACTAAAGACTACAAGAAGCTCCTGTAAACTATCTGAGAAGATTTCTAACCCCGCTGAACTAATGAGCAACAAATATCTCCTTGAGGCACAGCTGCAGGAAACCAATAAATAGTCACAAGAACTGGACAGTGTCTGCAATAGCCAGAGTTTGGTTTTGCCTGTAATTACAAAGTCTTCAGTAGTAAAATATTTCATCTTTGATTGCTAAATAGATAAACTGTGTTGCTTAATCTACTTCCCCAGTTTATCATGAGGCGACGTACCATGTTGCTGAATCAGTTGAGAGATGGCAGTAGTTGTATGGTTGCCATGAAATATTCTACCAGTTTTCCCCATTCTCCTCCAGAATCCCTCCCCAAGCAATCAAGAGTATAGTCTTAATCAGAGGATTGTCACTGCCTATCCTGTTTCATCTGTCGGGAGTGAAGTCCTCTGTACTTTCCAGTTTGTATTATCAGTCTTCTTTTGATGTTCAAAAAAAAAAAAAAAGCAAAAGAAATAACAGATTAGTCTCAGACAAAAAAAAATAAAGATGTGTTGAGGGAGAAGGCAGCTCTTCCCATGTTTGTATCAAGGTTATTTCACCTCTCGGTTGAATGCAAAAAAATTGCAGTTACTCTTATCTAACCTAATTATTCAAGTGTTCTTTTGCTGAATATCAAATAGAAAGCAAAAAATCATGGAAGGGGTTGGGACATTAGATTTGGAGTAATTGATAAGCAGTATTACTTTAGTTGATGTACACAGAGATAAGTGAAAACAAAAACTGCTTGTCATGTCTTCATTCAATCAGTGGGAGAATAGACTCAGACTCTCACAACGTTAGCAATGGAAGTTTATAGGATTTTAAAGCATGTGTTATGCAAAACCATCATCCTTATGAACGTCTGTTACACCAGACTATTGGAATCATTCCAAGTTTTATGGAATAAGCATTTTATTAATATAAACTTGCAAGGGCAAGTTTCCTGTTTCTTTTCTTGTGTCTGACATCTTTGTGTTTTATTCAAGTTACCGGATGTAGCCAAAAGACAGAAATATGTTTCAATGCAGTATTGGGGACTTGAAGGTTTCTTTGTTGTTGGTGCAAACCCTAAACAAGTGATACTTGAAGCACGTTCTTCACTGCGTGCTGACTCTAGCCCTGTGGACAGCAGTATCTTGTTTCCAGGTAATGACCTATAAATAAAATCCTCAAACAATATATGTATTTATCACTGTTGCTGTAAGACATCCTTCTCTTCATGTAACTTGGAACAAACTTGCTTTTAGAAATCATGGCAGGGTAACAGTCATGCCAACACACAATGACTGGTGCTGTGGAAGGATAAAATAGACTACTACCTTGAGGTAAATTACACCAATGTAGTGCCTTAGATTTATATGCTTTTTTATATCCCCTGAGAATTTGGTTCCAGTAGGAATTTCTACTTTTCTTTGTGCATAGTATACATCACAAAAGATGCTTCTAATGGTGCATATGAAACAACATGTAAAATGATTGAACATGAATATTAATTCTGTCAAGTATATCACTTGAATTTAAGCTTGTTAGTGTGTTATATATGTTTTTTTTCTTTATGTGTAGAAAATTTGTTGTATAACTTCTTTAAATCACACACATTAAATGCAGAAAATATAGTAACAGTAAATGCATAGAAACACAAAACCTGCCAATAATTTCCTCTAATACTTTTTAATTTCAGGAGATGGAAAGTGGGTTACTGAAAGGAGCTTAAGTGAATATGCTGATGACTCTCTAGTTCAAGGTGTCTTAGAAAGTTGGTTGAGTAGACCTTCGGGTGGTTTGGAGACTCAAAATAGAATTTCTCCCCTGATGGGAGGATATCAACAGTTTTGAGGTACTACGTTAACAGGTTAATTTTTCTTATGTAAAAAGTAGAAGTGCTGATTCTGTTTAATTTAGGTGATTTTTGTATCTTCATCTATGTATTTGTGTTTTAGGTATAATGGCTTGTATACGTGGTATTGTTTCCATAGGAGTGGGCTTCTGAGTTAAAAATTATTTCTTTCCAGCTGTCACTAATGATTCTTTTTATTGTACTTCATTTCTACTCCTGCTTCTACCCTGGTACTCCCCTCTTAGCTTGCCTATTTAGATAATAAACTGTCTAGAACAAGGTTATGGATTACTGTGTGTTTTGCAGCATCTAGTGCAATATGGTTTTAATCTAATGAAAGATTTTTTTCATGCTACTGAAATAAGTCTTATTCCATGAACTATAAGAAACAAAGAAACCAGTAATGCATAACTGCATCTGCCCATTTGGTTACTTTTCTCAATTTCAGCAGTCTTCATCTCAAGGCATGTAGCTTATATTATTTCTTTCATCTTAAGCAACTGGTTTGGCATTTTAATTTTAAAAACACTATATGCAGAAATTGAAACTGTCAATTTTGAATCCTAGAAAAATATTTGAAAGTGTCTATATTTTATTCATGTTGCCTTAAATTAAAAAAAGACAGAACCAAAGTTTTAAGCTTTCTACATGCATCCTCACTCTCTCCCTTTCCCCAAAATTTGTGCCATTGTGCAGCGTATTTAAAACAAATATTTTTTTTCTGAAAGATACCCCTGAAGTATGAGATGCTGCTTCCCAATATAGTTGTAAACTTTTTATTAACATATATTAATTCACTCTTAGTAAAACTAATAATCTGTTTAGATCAGTTCATAGTTTTAACTACAGTTAATGTCACTAATGAGCTGAGCTAAAATTCTAGTGTGTGAAATCTTGAATTAATGGAAAAGGTCACAACTTCTAATATTTCAGGGAATGTTTCTAGAAGACCTTGGTCAACAAATATGCTGCACTTTAAACTGACTGAAAATTGTTCAACAAACACACAGCCAAGACCAAAGACTTCACCTGTGCGTGTGTTTAGACTTGATACTGAGGTATCAAAACACAAGTGCCCTGATGTAACTGAACAAGATGAGTATCTTTGGGAATATATTGCAGATCAAGAAGCCCTACTTAGTCTGGAAAAAGAATTACAAAGTTACACAGGTAAGTGTCAATACTACTTATTTTCCATCCGTCCCCCAATCTTCCCCCCCCACTCCACCCTCTAACCCCCCCCCCCCCCCCCCCCCCCCCCCCCCTTACTTCCAAGTAATGTAACAAAAACCAGTAGCTATTTCATTTGCCTTCTCAGACCTAACTTATTTTGATGCAAAAATGTACTAAACCATTTGATGATGGAAGACTCTCTTGTGGTTGAACAGTGATTTATTTCTATTTGATCATACTTTAACCTACTCTTAACTTAGTAGAAGCAAACTGTTTCACCCAACTTTCTTAATTTTTTTATCCCTTGTGTTTTTGCGAAAATCTGCAGGATATGCTGGGTATTATATCAGATCATAAATTTCTTTTAAATAGGTATCCTTTTCTTGGATATTTAATAATGAACAGCCCAGGTGTTGTTTACAACTAGATGTGATTTGGTGCAAGGATAGCAAGAAGGGGAAGAGATGGCCAGGAAATTTTATGAATCTATCTTGACAAGAACTGTCACTAACAAGGCGCGACACATACTGTTACCTCTCATTTTGGGTTTGAGTCAACCCCCTTTCCTCTGTCTTTTTTAAAACCATCTCCTTGTTTTTCAAGTGTGGCGGAATGGGCAGGCAGACAAGGTCAGTTGGTTATGGTTGAACAGAATGAGTAAGTTCTGTTTTTTTTCTTTGAATACAGGAAAAAAAAATGATTTGAGTGCTTCTGTTCCATCCCAGTGAGGAGATGGGTCAAGTGCCCAAGGCATTTTGTGCGATAAGCAGCCTTGATGGGCTGCATCTCTTAGGCTGCAACATGGTCCCTCCTTTCTTAGTTGCTATTGGGTCTGCTTTTGTATTGGCAGGTCCTAGCTGTGATGCATCTTCAGTAAACAAAAGTAGTCTGAATTCCAGAGTGTTCTATCTTTTAAAAAAGTTTTTACCTTGGGTTTTGCTGTATTGTTTCACACAGCTTTTCTGAGGTTTCCGAATGCCACATCAGGACAGCTGTCCTTCCTTTTTTGATGTGTACTCATCAGAACCCATGTGTTTTTGGAAACATTTCTCCTGCTTATGATTGAGGAATGAACATCCATGCTGAATAAGCTCAGAGAACAATAGGGGGGGACAGTTATTCTTGAACTGTCCCATTCTTCTTGTATAAGAAGCATAGACTGTGATGCTAGTTGATCATCTTTTTATGTTGATGGATGTGAGATATATCCTGTTACTCTATTTTAAATATGTACTACCGTTAGTCAGCTACCTGAGTTCTATATTTGCTACTGTATTTTGAGGACACATAGGTATTAGTGGGCCCTATATATAAGGTTTCATATTGTACTGGCATAAACACCTTAGAAGCAAACCCTCTCCGTTACTTCTTATCATACAAGAACCATATAATAAAAAGTCATAATTTATTTGAAGGCTTATAGTAACATCTTTGATTAGCTAAAGTTGATTTGAAACTTTTAATGGCAAGTTTCTGTTGATACTGTGAAATTCTTTAAAACTGGCAGTGTAGATAGTGCATTTTTTTTGTTTATATTTGTTCCTAAAGTGATGTAAAATATTTCAGGTCCTGAAAAATGTTACAGCTTAACTTCTGTAGATGTAAGCTCCGCCAGCAGACACTCAGTGAAGATATATAGAAATAGTACAGGTTTCCATAAAAACCTGGAGCTAAAAGACCACAGCAGAGTTGATACTCACAAGTAAGTTAAAATTCCCAAGTATGTTTTTATGATATTGTCAAATGCTCAATATGCCAAACATCTTGCCGGAACCAGAGTAAAAACAGTCTTGACTTTCTGATTGTCCTTTACATGCTGATTACAAATGTCAGCATGACCTTTTTTCTATCTTGGTGTTCTAAGCCAGTACTCTCAGGCAGCTCAAATTAAGTGATATATTTTGTTGTTGAGTCTCCAAACTATAAATTTTGGATTGTTTTTTAAAATGTGTTAGCTTTTGTTTATATACAGCACTGAGATTTATAAAGTACGTCTGTTACAAACATCTAAGTTCTGTGGTTTTAAGGTACCTTTTAAAAAGAGCAGGTGAGCCAGTAACATTTAACTCGCCATAGTCTGTGATATACCTGTTATGTTGCCTTGGAGACCAAGGAGATGACTGGAAACAAAACTTCCCCAAAGTTCCGTCTGTCAGTGGTTTCCTACTGTGATCTCGTAATTAGTAAGGGTCAGTGAGAGGAGACATCGTGAGGTTAACCACGTGCTATATGAATAGAACTGGGTCAGAGGTTTGTGGTTATTTTTGCAAATAATATTTGCAAATAGTGCAGATAGTATAAATGAGACCCCCTTTCCTAGCTTACCTGTTTTAGGATGTGGCATTTCTCTATTAAGGCACAATAGTGACAATGTTTTTCACTTCCTACTTGTTTAAGAGGTGAAAATGTATGTGACAAAAACTGAGGGGCAAAAATGTATATAGTAGCTTGTAATGTATGTATACTTGTAAAATATACAGCAAAAGCTATTTTCATAGTTCTACACATGTAGACATAACTGACTAAGGCTTAAAGCAGAGTTGCTTGAGGAATTTGAGGTGCTGAAAATCACTGTGGTATGTTTCTTTTAAGGGGCTGGGATGAAAGCCAAACGGATGATGAGGAGGAAATTTTGGAGGATAAGCAACAGGTTCTTGCATTACAGTGAGCATACAAAGAACTTAATGCAGTTTCTGTCTTTGTGTATCATACAAAGCCAAGAAGCAGATGAAGAAGTGTCTTGAGTGCTGCTCAAGATACTGTTTATTAAGAATTATTTTGTAAAACTGTCAATAAAGATTCTTCAAAATTCCTTGATTTTGGATTTTTTGTTAGTATGAAGTAGTAATGGAATAAAATAAAACTGGTCTCATGCTATTGTATTTTAGGATTTTTTTTTATACTTTATTTTTTGTTCAATATATAGGGTTCCTTAACTGCAGATTGAATTATGTGTCCAAATGCAGTTTTACATTACCATGCTGAGAGGTGGTGTGCAAGAGGGTATTAATGGAGCGTTCCTAAACTGGGAGTCTCAATGGGGCCAAGTTTAGATGGTGAGATGCATAGTAAAACTGTAATAGGTCTAGTATACTTTACTCCTTATTGTATTTTACCACTAAGGGACTTTCACCGTGCAGAGTAGAAGTTAACTGTTTTGCATAGTATATTTTACATCTCCTGCCACACTCCGTTCTTAATTTCAGCAGGCAGCATGTACTAGCACTAAACTCCACTCTCTCAACTCAGCCTGTTCTTAATTTCAGCAGGCAGCGTGTACCAGCACTAAACTCCACTCTCTCAACTCAGCATCGGTGGAATGTCAGTTCTCTTTCTGCATTGTTCCAATGTGCCAGTTCAGAGCTGTTAATTTCACCAAATCATTTTAATTTATCTGTCTGATCATGACAAGACCAGAATTGTAGTTTTGAGCTTGCTGCACCCGTGTGGTATAAAAAGGTTTCTTCTTCCTCTTCTTCCCAGTTAATGCAAGGTTAAATGCAATTAATACAACTTCAGTACAAGCTGACTTTGCTGTTAGATACTGACATGGTACATAACGTAAAGAAGTTTTGGTGGCTTTCTGCACTGTTTTTTGAGGAGATGCTTAATTTGTACCTGGTAGTGAGTAGTTTTCTGTGGAGGTGGCAGGAAGTGATACTTTTGAAATGATCCAGCTGGTGTCTTTTGGTAACATCTTTAGGATTCTCGGACATAACAACATGCTTTCTTAAAGTATTTTTCCTTCTTCATGTTCTATTTTAATTTTAGTCTTTCTATTAATTTTCTGCACTGTAGTTTTTAAGATGCCTTTCAAAGCATCTTATAAGCTTTTTTTCTCCCCCCCCCCGAGTTTTGATCAAAAAAAAGTATAACTATTAAATTGCAATCACAAAGATTTTTGTCTCATTGTGTTGGGAAATTTTGAAAGTGGGATTAATTAAAAGCTTTGGTCTGACAATTTATTGTTATACATTTATGGGTAAATCACCTGACAAGACTCTAAAATTAATGCTAATTGTCATTGACAGAAAACACAGAAATAGAAACTTTATATCTTGCTTTACATCTTCCATCTGTGTTCCACAGTTCTCTCATAACTGCTTTAAATGAGGAGTTTATAGAAGATGAAATTCAGAGAGCAACACTGTGTGTAGTTTTGACCATGTTGTTACCCAATTTAAATTTGATGAAAGGATTATGTGTTTACTTCAGTAATTTTTCACCACTGCAACAGTGATCAGTAAGTTACAAAACTTCATGTCAGATGCCTTTTAATAAAGGTCATGATTTCCATCACTAATAGGGTTAATTAGCCAATGTAGGCAGTTTTAAGAAATTAATTTTGTTTATAGTCTCAAATGTTTAAAGATGTCTTTGAGCGCTCATCTTGAAAACCTTGCGATTCTTTGTTCAGAGGTGGCGAGTGACCTTCATTAATGTATCAGGGGAAACATTGCAATATATTATTTAGGTTCTGACAATTAGACACGTTTGTATTCTCCTCAAGCCATAGAACTCCAATGTAGTGTGCATTTGTTGTCTGTCTCTCCCATCAATTATACACTTAGGCAACATAGACAGTAATCTTTTCAACAATTTATTTTACAGGAAAAAAGTACTTCAGTAACCTTAATTCATAAAACCTAGAGCCATCGGGCTGAACAGACCATTGATTTGATTTCCTGCCTCATTTCTTGTCTTTAAGGTGAGGGCATATTTTCCACTTCAGTTTTCTTTATAGAGTTTACCATATATTGATGTTTTATTACTGTAGTTCCTTGCCAGAAATTCTAAGAATAAAATCAGAAAGCAGGTGTTCTACTTCGTAGATCAAGGCCAGTGCTTTTCTCTCATGAATATAACCTTTTCTTTCTTTTTGAGTTACTTTTCCAAATATTCCTGTTATGCTCATTTCCCTTGCACAGATAAGCTCACTGCCTCCATGCTGTTCTCAGCCCTTTTTAACTAGAAAACCAATGAAGCAGGTGCCACTGTAGTGTGTGCCTAGAGCCCTCAACAGTCAGGTTAATCCTTTGTGTTTGTGCTTGTCAGAGATAACTAGAAAGTCACTGATGACTGTTTTCAACATCTGATTTTAACAGTTTTCCCTTACCATCCCTTTTTCTTGAAAGAAAAAAAAATCCTTCTGTTAATACCCCTAACAAACTTTAGGCTACAAATAAGCTTATTTCAGTGTATTAGTAATCTCTTTGGTTAGTCAGCGGTGATTTAAATGCATCTCAGATTTGTATTCCTAGGTCTAACACCCTTGAAGACGTCTTTCTTGTGTGGAATTTTTTTTCCTCTCTTCAAGACACAGTGCTGGAACTGATATCCTACCTAGAAGACCAAAAAAAGCATCTGAACTGCTGCAATTCTGTGACATTTCTTGTTTTTCTGTTGCAAATAGAACAAATCTAGTATTGAAAGCTTGCTGCTTATGATTATGGATGCAGTTTAATGTATTTATCTGCATTTCTGATGTGATATGAATACAATGCGGAAGGGGTTAATGTGTGTTGTGTTTTGGTTGTGGTTTGTTTTTTTTTTTTCCCTCCTATGCCTGTTATAGGATTGGCTGGAGCTAAACACAGGTGTCAAGGGATTTGCACAGAAAAAGGATCTTTTCTCTCTATTCAGAGAGAGACAAGAAGTGGGGTGGGGGGAAAGTTAAAGACCAGTTTATTTTCTTGAGCTCCTGGGGTAAGTCTACATGTCATCTTGGGTACATTAACTTTTGTAGCCTAACTTTACAAAACACAAATCCTATGAATTAACTTGGCAATCAATTTGGATTTTGAATGAGGATATCATGTTCACTATATATTAAAGTACTCTAGCATTCATGTGGACACAGAGACTTTTCCATAGTCTGGAAGACTACAGGTCTGTCTCTCTCTTTCTGCCTTTTTCAATGTGGCCATTTTCTGCTTTCAAGCAACTCTCAGTATAATATCCATTGATGTAAAAGACTGCTTCTTGGGCAGGTGGGCTTACTATTTTTGGTGGTTATACAGTACAAGAATGAGTGAACCTGGCAAGGACTGGATTACTGGAGAGATTTTGAGGGCTCCTGTGTTATCTTGGGAGCAAATGTTTCCTTGCTGTTCTTTCAACTAAAGAAAATACATGAGGCATGATTTTTATGTGGGATGTTTAAATATTAGTATTCTAACACTCAGGTTATTTTCCTCCATGATTTTTTTCTTAAGAGGTTGGCGTGAGACCCAGGAAAAATCTGACTCCACCCCTCTTCTGCTTAGAAGCTTGTTGCAAACATACTTAGTACCAGAGAATGGAATAATTTAGGAAGGATGAAAACCTAGGAAGTGTCTTCTGTCTGTTGTCAAGCCTTATGACCTGTCCGAAGAGCAGCGTACTTATGCAGTTTACATGTCAGAGTGTTGCTGATCTAAGCAGTGAGGGTTAGCATATGGCAGTAATCGGATGTTTCTAGATGCTCGGAGGAACCCTTGTGCTTCACAGAGATCTGCCCATCTCTGATGGGGAAACTCTACCCATGTATTAAGATTTTGAGCTTTACTACCCCTGGTTCATTACAGAATTCCTTCCTACCAGCCAGTATTTCTTTTTTTTCATACCCCAGACTGATGGTGCGTCAAGTGGAGCTCATACTGTTCTCTTGACATTACCTTTCCCTGTGTATCTACCAGATTGCCTGGCACCAGTGGGTGACTTTTACAAGTAAATCTAGCTGGTAGTGAGTTGCCAAATATTTTTCAGTCAGTTTCTGTATCTTGGTGTTTTAAATATCAGTTCTTCCTCCAGGTTACCAGAAGAGAAATATGTAACATAATGATGAAGGAGTCATGTGAAATTTGTGTTATTCCCAAGTGCTATGATTCCAAGATTTCTATTCCCCTTGTCTTCTAGATATCTTAGTGCATTTCAGGGAAGGTCACAGAATCGCTGGTAATGTAGCATCATAGTGGCTCTGCCCATCCAGGGTGCTGTGCTGTTATGCCAGTTTCTGATGTGTGTATATGTTAATTCCTTAATACGAAACATCCAGGTTTCCATGACCATTAATGAGGAAATTTACAGTGTAAAATGAAGGTGCCTTGTTCTCAAAATACGGACAAACTGAACAGCTGTTAACTTCAGTTGAATGCTTATGTCTAAAGCACTTACCTGTTAGTCCCTGAAATATTTTAATTGTCTGCCATTTGGCTGGCTGCCTGATAATGTCTAACTTTTTTTTTTTTTAGTATAAAGGGGCACTCATCCAAGTAGACTAGTTCCAGAACCCATGTGAAGTGCTGTCTAATTCTGCTGATGTAGTTGGCTGTACACAGAAGAATGGGTTAAGGCTGGAAAGTGAGAATTGAGATTTTTCTCTTCATGTTTCATTTCAACCAGTTCTGGCAATGAATGAATTACATTGAAAACACTGTTCATGATTCTACTTGTGCTGGTACTGTAAAGGTCTCTGATACGTACTCTAGGACTCTAACAGAGCAGAGCTCTGTTACTCTGTTTGATTCTAACCTTTAATACACTTTAAGATGCTGTCATTTGCTGCATCTCATTTACAAAAATTAAGGGTTGTTTTTTTCTCCATCATAGTATGGCTTACGTGCATGTCATTCAATTATCAGAAACACATCAAACCAATTACTTGTAATTTGTCCAGACTCTTTAGAT